TGAGCGACTTCATCACGGTCTCCAGCTTCAGCTTCTCGGAGCTGGAGGACCAGCTTAACGAGGCCAGGGACAAGGTGAGGGGCCCGAGCCCGCTCCAACTCGGCCTGATGTGCACAGGGCTCCTTCGCCCACTCCTACCAGACGCCCCGGAGGGACAGACCCAGAACCACAGAGCTGAGGAATAACCCGCCTTCACTCCCACAGAAAGAGCCATAGCAACTCTGATGCAAGGACCGCGGTCCGTGCGCCGGGTGCAGGCACCACACTGAGTATTTTACATCAGTGTCACGATGCACTGCATGGGGGTGTTGGAAGGCTATTAGTCCTTTCAACAGATGTGTCCACTGAGATCCAGAGAGGTTAAGTAACTTGCCCGAGGTTGCCCAGCTGTGACAGACAGAGCTGGGTTAGTCTCCTGACGAGCTCGGCCTTGGTCTCAGTTGCTGTCCTCCTGCTTCTCGCATGCACGCACGCACGCACCCATCTGTGGGAGTCTTACTGAAATGCGCGTCCTCCTTCAGAAGGTCGGGAATGGGGCCTGAGACTCAGCATTGCCAGGAAGCTCCCAGGAGATGCCCCCGCCGGTCCACGGAACACACTGCGTGTAGTGAGATCTTTTTCAGGGGACTTTGAGTGGGTTAGAGATGACAGCCTCATTAAAGAACAGTGCCTGGCACATAGAGTTATAGCTAGAACTTGACATCTATGAACTCATTTAAACCCCAAAACAACACCGAAGTAGGTTCTGTTATTATCATCCCCATTTTACAGATGAGAAAACCGAGGCACAGAGGGTTAACGAACTAGCCCAATAACTATGATCTCTGAGGTCCTTTTGATTTCTGACCAGGGAGTTCCTTCCCAGGGTCTGCGGCTCCTGATCCCACACTCAAACCGTCACAGACACAGAGTGGCTCTAGGCAGCCGCATCAGCCTGCTTGGACACCCCGCCATGTCCCTAGGGTGTCTACCCCCACCCTTTCCCTCAGCCTTACCCCAACTCCAATGGTAATGGGGTCTCTCCTTCTCCAGCCCTGACCCATGGCAAAGGCCCCCAGCCTCGAACAGGGCTCTGCTCTGGCTGGCACCCAGCTAACCACATGGCCTGGGCCCACAGTGCTTGGGGTGACTCTCCAACACCCCTTCTTCCCCCAACAGTTCTCCAAGGCCCTGGTGCACTTTGGGGAGCAGGACAGCAAGATGCAGCCAGATGAATTCTTCGGCATCTTCGACACCTTCCTGCAGGCCTTCTCGGAGGCCCGGCAGGACCTGGAGGCCATGAGGAGGAGGAAGGAGGAGGAGGAGCGGCGGGCACGCATGGAAGCCATGGTGAGCGGTGGGCAGGACCTGAAGAGAGAGGCCGGTCTGAGTGGGTGCTGCTGGGGGACAGTGGCAGGGGCGTGTGTGAGGAGGGCAGGGCCTGAGAAACACTGTAGGGCTGAGGGGAGGCCCCCAAGGGGGGAGAACGGTCTGCCCAGCCTGAGGCGCACAGCATCCAGGCGCACCGCCTAGGAGCTGCCCCCGGAGGACGCTGGCGGGAAGTCGCCCGGGCTGCTCCAGCCTTGCCCCCTCTGCCCCACCCTTGCAGCTGAAGGAGCAGCGGGAGCGGGAGCGGTGGCAGCGGCAGCGGAAGGTCCACGCAGGCAGCGCGCTGGAGGAGGGAGGCGAGTTCGACGACCTGGTGTCGGCCCTGCGCTCCGGGGAAGTGTTCGACAAGGACTTGTGCAAGCTCAAGCGCAGCCGCAAGCGGTCAGGGGCCCAGGCCCTGGAAGTCACCCGGGAGCGGGCAATAAACAGGCTAAATTATTGACCTGGGGACTGGCCGCAGCAGGAGGCCAGGAGACAGGGATGGACAAGGGGCTGTGGAGGAGGCGGGGAACAGACCACGTGGTGCTCGGCGTAGAGCCCTGGGCTGGGCCCTGGGCTGGGCTGTGAGGCAGGACCTGGCGTCCCCCACACTTACCTGAAGGGGCCTCCCCGCTCCCCTTCCCATCCTTCTGCTCCCCGGCCCGCAGGGGTCACTCTCCGAGGCTCACTTGGACACCCCTGGCAGGCTCGGCATGGGCGCCACACGTTGGCACAGCACTGTTCCAGGCCTGGGCTGGACAGGCCCATGGGTCTTGTCCAGAGTCATGTGCAGTGGGGAGTACCCGTGGGGTGGGCGCCCCGAGAGCCAGCGTGAGAACCCAGGCTCCCATCCCTCGAGAGGCAGCAGAACGTGACATTGACTGGGACCCGAATTCCTCTTGATGGAACGGAAGAGGCCTCTTGCGTCCCAGCTGCATGGGCCCCGGGGGGAAGGTGCTGGCAGAGCCCAGGGACCGAGCCCCAGGGCGGGGAGTGCCTGCGTCCTCCGGCACCACCCCCAAGCCTCTCAGGCTGCCTGAAGACTCCCTTCCTTCCCTGTCACCTCTGTCCCCTCCACTAACCCAGAATCCCAGAACCCCCTTCGGGTTCTGACGCCTGTGGCCCGCTGTCAGGCACCCGGTGAACCTGATAAAGGGAGGTGGCAAAGACCCTGCTCGTCACCCACACCTCGCGCCTTGGGCACAGGGACCATGGAACAAAACCCATCCCCCACCTGCCCTGGACCAGGGTCTTGCAGAGACAGTGACCGCACGTGTTGGCTAGGATTTCCTGACAGCCCCCCATCAGAGGGCAGCGCGTCAATGCCTAGCCCCCCTCGAGCTTTCTGGTCTACCACTCCATGTTACTCAGACCCCAAACTCTGACGTGCCTGGGGCAGAAGCCACAGTGACCTTCACCCTGTCCAGCTAGGAGACCCCCTCAAACCATGGGTGTCTGTCTGGCTGAGGCTGGCGCTGGGGTGTCAGTTCCCGAGAGGGCCCCGAGGGCCAGGGCTGCCCTCCGCATTTCCATGCCATCTCCTGAGGTATCTCCTCTGGGGCGTTCAGACGGGGCCAGAGCAGGCAGGGGAAGCAGGGGGAGGGGGAGGGATGATGGGGGGAGGGCTGACTTCCCTGGGGAGTGCACTGCCTGGAGGAGCCAAGGGGGCTGGCGGGGGTCCCACCCCCATCGTCGGTACCTGATTGGGTTCTTCCACCGGACTGCGGGGGCCCATTCCTGCTCACTGCCACCTCCCCTCCGTCCATTCCCGTTTTCCGTGCTGGCCATCTTGAGTGGGTGGGTTGATGCTGTATCTAAACAAAACGCTATCTTCTGAGAGGGGAGGTGAGGTCAGGCCCATCAAGGCTCTTATTTCCCAACACATTTCTCCCCCTCGAGTTGACCTTGCCGCCTCGACTCTGCCTGCCGGAACCCCTATCCCGGGGCTCCTTGCCCCTGTCCTCCTGCCCCTCCCTGTATGTTTCCCACCTTCCCGCCTCCTCCTCCGGCTCAGGGTCACCGCCAGGGGACAGACCGGTGGGCTGGGTCCACTCTTCAGCTGCCTATTTTTTTCCTACTTCAGATTCCTGGGGGGCTGGGGAGGGGCCGTAGTAGCTTCGGGGAAGAAACAAGGTTGGAGAGCCCAGCATGTGTGTTGGTTCGAGGGGGAGGGATCTGAGCAAGGGCAAGTCTGGCCAGGACCTGTGCGAAGGGCCACCTGGAGCCCAGGCGACGGCTGCCGGAAGGGGGCAGAGCCTTCTGCCATCGTACAGGCGCGCGCCCCCGCAGGACGCTGGCGTTGGGATGACGGGAAGTTGTGGGTGGGTCTCTGAACTCCCCTCTGGGACTGGCTGGGGTCAACCTAACCCACAGGGCGGAAACGGGGGGGCGCCGCTTCCCACCCAAGAATCACATCCAAACCCCGATTCCCACCCGCATGGGAGAGGACGAAGGACGAGCATGGACGCTGGTCAGGACACGTGGCCTCGCGGAGCAGCAGTTTACAGAGGACACATACATTGTTCCAGGGCTCCGGCTTCTCACCCCCAGCGACTTCTTCTCTATTTATTATTTTCAAGGTCTGGCCAGTGGCTCTGCGCCAGACACCACTGTAGCCAGATCTCCGAGAGGGGCTGCCCCCAGGCCGTGCGGCTCACTGGGCAGCAGGGCCGGTGCCCGTGGAGACGGCCGAGCTGGTCCTTGACTCACTACGTGTCTACGCCTGTTCGTTCCTTGGTCTTTCCCAGTGCCCTCCCCATCCTTCCTGCCGCCTTCGGGCAGATTTCTCCCGCTAGTTCGTGTCCAGTGTAAAATCCAGTTAACCTAATGCAACCTGTCCCCTTTGGCAGCAGCGCCCACGCCCCCTCCTGGATGGAAGTGAGGTGTGGTTCGGGCAGGGGCCTTTCGGGGTAGCCCTCCCCGCCCTGTCTCCACCAGCGGGGAGTGTGCGGTCCCCTCCCCACCGCGACCAGGCCTTCGCGCCAAGGCCGCTCACCAGCTGTCTCAGAGGGCAAATGAGGTCAATGTATGAAATCGGCAGCGTCCTTTTACCCGCACCTTTTTTATAAGAATATATTGTAATACTAAAAGCTATTAAATCCATACCACCCCCCAGCCTGCCTCAAAACGTGTGCTTTCTTCTCGTGGGGACTTGAGGTGGGCTGGGGACCAGGCACGGCCGGGGCACGTTGGAGCTGGCGCCCACCAGCTCTGAGTGTGCAACTGTGACATTTTCAAGCCAGTTCTCATGGCCTTTCCTCTTCCTGAGATGGCTGTAAAACATTCAGCAGCACAGCAGGTGTAGGGCAGAGGGGAGGCAGGAGGGGTGGCCCCGAGGGTGAACCCACCAGACGAGTCCAGGGCTGGGGGATGTGAAACCCAGGAACGTCTTATTGCACCCCTGACCTGCTGGCCAGCGCTGAGCTTCAGACACCCCACCGGACCGCTTCCTGTAGACGGTGCATTTCCACGCCCCCACCCCCTCCTCCCTTCTCCCACAGGGAAGGTGGGGATAGAGGGAAGACATCCCTCCAGCCTTCCCAGCATCCCTGCTCCTCCTCCCCGGGGAGGGCTTTGGGAGGGCGTTGAGGGGGCAGGAAACCGAGCAGCCAGTGTCCTGTGCACAGAACAGCCCGCTCTTGCGTCTGCAGGGTTGGCATCAAGGCTTTATTTTGTGCGCTGTAGGGGAAGGCAATCAACTCTCTTCTTTCCCTGATATGTTCCAGAACCAAGGGGGGCAGTGGGGGGAATAGCAGTGCACAGGCCAGGTGTGGCGTGAGCATGACCAGCTGGTCAGGGGTCCTCAGGGCTGCAGCCCGCGTGTGTGTCTGAGGAGGGGGCAGGCCAGGGAGCAGGCAGGAGGGACCAGACTTTCTGAGGACGCAGGGCGAGAGGCAGGGGCAGGCAGGGCTGCCGAAGAGAAGTCGTACATTCTCAGCGCGAGCTGTGCTCCCTCCACGTGGGTCCTCTGCTTCGTGAGCCCTTATCCTCTTCCCAGGGAAGCAGCAGAGGAGAAAACCCAACGTGAGGAGCGGAAGTTACGGGCTGGACTCAAACTGGTTGTCTGAAACGGTGCGCAGGTAGCATAACTGACTTGTCAGTATCTAGCGTGGCTCACTGCGACCCTCCCGTGACCTAGTGTCCAGGAAGGCGAGGGGCCTGCGGTTTCCTCTGAGTGAAGGACACCTCACAGGCCGTCACAGGTCCTCTAGCAGTAAGGGGTGAACTGACCTGGGGTCCCTACTGGGGAAAGTAAACAGTGACGGAGTTAAGACCTAGACATCTTTCCTCGGTCCAGTTGCATCCCATCTCTTGATCTGGCTGGGCCGGGGGTGAGGGGGCGGGAGCGCTAAGTCCGATGGAAGTCCCCCCGCTGACCCCCTGTCTTGCTGATGAGCTTGATCTCCCCCAACACAATGTCCCTGCTGACAGCCTTGCACATGTCATACAGGGTGAGGGCGGCCACAGCAGCCGAGGTCAGGGCCTCCATCTCCACGCCGGTGGGGCCCCGGGCCTGGCAAGATGCCTGGATGGCCACGGCGTGGCGCGTGCTGTCCAGCTCCAGCCGCACCTGGACGTGGCTCAGGGCCACCTGGTGGCACAGAGGGATCAGCTGGCTGGTCAGCTTGGCCGCCTGGACTCCCGCCAGCTGGGCCACCACCAGGGCATCTCCTTTCTTGAGCCGGTTCTCTTGGACGAGTTTGAAGGCCACAGGCCCCAGGAGGACCACGGCAGAGGCCACGGCCACCCGTGCTGTGTCTGGCTTACTGCCCACATCAACCATGACTGCCCGTCCTTCTGAGTCCACGTGGGTGAGTTCGTCTGAGGTCGGCAGCCATCCTGAGTGGGTCGCAGGAGCCTGGGGCACGGGGCTAAGGCACTTTGGGCTGGTATCTGAGTCTGAGTGGGAACTGTAGTGTCTCTGAGGGGAGCCACACCCCAGCCATCGCCGGGTGAGGGGAGGGGGTTGGGGGACCCAGCATCCTTTCCACAAAGCCGCCTCCTGGCTGGAGACGCCCACTCTGTGTCTCAGACCCTGGATGCTGAGTGAGTCCCAAGAGGAAACGGCTGGAAGGGCTGGTGGGGAATCTTGGAGCAGCAAAGAGAATTCTGGGAGGCAAGGAGGAAAGAGAAGAGGTTAGTCCAAAGGTCATTCTCTTTCCACCTCTTCTCCCAACTATTCCCCCACCCCACTTCGAGTTCTCTTCCACTCTGGGGAAAGGCGGAAGAACAGAAGCAGAGCGAGGAGATAACACGGAAGACTCGCAGGTGGGGTTCCCCGGGATACAGGTGTGCAGCCCTTCCCAGGTGTTACACCGGACAAACCCCACCCGCTTCTGACTGCCCCACAGTGGTGGTGGGGGGTCCGGGCTCAACCTCCTCCCAGAACCTTGTTGCCCAAGTTCTCATAGGAAACACCTAAGGTCTGAAGCCCGAAGCCCGGATTGAGGACCTCTCCATGTCTCTTCATTTTCTTAAAAGAAAACTGCAGTGAGGTCTCGGCCTGAATGACAATCGCGGGCTGCGTCTCCACGTTCTCTGGGAGAGTTCGCAGTGATCCTGTCACTGCAGACTAGCCCCTGGGTGGGAACAGGCACCCTGTTTAAACGAGCCCGTCGGACGGGCACCTACGACAGGCGGCTGCCAGTGGTCCCGAAGGCCCCGGGAACCTCAAAGGGCGACCGGCACACCAGTGCCCCCGAGAACTGCTGGAGACGCCGACTCCCACCCAGGCCTCCCTCCCCCGCGTCTCACGGGACGAGATCCCCGTGGTCCGGATGCGCTGAGTGTGGGGCCCGTTCTAGGCACGGGTGGTGTTCAGAAACCAGACTGGTCCAGCGACTGTCCTGCAGAGTGATCTTAGGTCGCCCGGAGCAAACCGGTCTCCCCACTTCCAGCTCTCCATCATGCTCTGGCCCCTACCTTGCCAGTGTCAGAGGCACAAGCTCTCTTCTAAGGGGCTATCCAGCACCCCACTGCTGGCCATCCAGGTACCCCCACTCCTTCAAGGTGTGTTGGCATGGCTCAACCCCACACCAGGACTCTGATGCTGCAGGTGGGGGAGGCAAGGTGGTCAGTTCTCTTCCCTGCGGGGCTCTTGGGTGAGCTGCCTTCCCCTCTGGGGGCTGAGCGGAGGGGGTCCTGGCTGTCTTTGCCCCCCTGCAGCCTGCTCCCCTCCGGCTCGCCCTGCGCCAACCCCGGCAGAAGAGAGCCCCCGCCCCTAGTGTTCCTCACTGCTTTCTCCTGCCTCGTGGTGCAGCTCAGGGCCCAGACCTGGCTGTGGCCAAGGGGGCCAGGCTGCCCTGCTCGTCTGGGCGTTATGCCAGGGGGATCACAGCACCCCTGACGTTCCTCGTGGCCCAGCGCTGCCCAGGTGGAGACCACTACACTCTACAAGATGGTGTTTGTGTTGGAAGCCTCCTCTGCAGTGAAAGATGCTCACATCGTGTTAAGTTCCAGGAGCTAAGGAACCGGGAAGCTGCGGTCCTGGCTGTGTCCTCCCTGGCGAGACCAGTGAGTGACAGGCTTAGCTGCCTCTGGCTCTGCCCTGCACAGACGCTAACCACATCGCCCCACGGGCTCTGGGGCCCGATGCACCCATGGGAGGGCCCGACGGGCTCTGGGGCCCGATGCACCCATGGGAGGGCCCGACGGGCACTGGGGTCCGATTCACCCATGGGAGGGCCCGACGGGCACTGGGGTCCGATGCACCCATGGGAGGGCCCGACGGGATCTGGGGCCCAGACGCACCCATGGGAGGGCCTGACGGGCACTGGGGTCCGATGCACCCATGGGAGGGCCCGACGGGATCTGGGGCCCGGACGCACCCATGGGAGGGCCCGACGGGCACTGGGGTCCAGATGCACCCATGGCAGGGCCCACACTAGAGGGACGCCTGGAACTGTGCCCGAGTGGGGACACTCTAGAACTGAGGACAGGGTCTCTGCTCTAACTGGGATCTCTATTTTAGGGGCACAGCTCAGCTGTCATTAAATCCAGAGGGCACCCCCCAGTTTCTGGTGAGGCAGGGCTGTCTTTGCAGCTGGGGAGGGGCGTGTACAGGGAAGGGCGCCCAAGGCTTGAAGGGTTGAAAGGACAAAGAGGAACAGAAGAAACCAGGGCTGAGAATATCAGGACGAAATGCAGGATGCAGGGGTGCCTTGTGGCAGTGGCCCTACCCCACGGGAACCCCAAGGACAAGGGGGAGTGGTTACGTACTGCTGGGTCACCCACCGATGAGGATCATGGGTCGGTTCTTCATCCGGGAGATATTGAACATGCCTGGGGTAAGGGAGAGAGGGGGAAGGAAGGGGAGCAGGGGGGGGCAGTTCAGTGACAGGAACATGGGCAGCAGGTGACAGCCCGAGGGTGCACTGCCTACGAGCACTGACAGAGCGCACTGTGCACTGCGGGGCCCCATGACCCGGCCCAGAGGTGTGTGGACAGCAGGACCTGCCCCCCACAGCCCTCTTCCCCCCACCGAATAAAACAGCCCACAAGAATCCAGGGGCCCCTCCTCTGTGCCAGCCTCCCAAGGAGGACTATCACACACCCCGTCACAGGGTCCAGGAGTGACTGGGAGTGAGGACAGCACTGAGTCGCCCTGGGTCCCTGCCGGCCGTCCTTTGCCCTCTCGCCCCAAACTACGACCTCCCTCCAACTGCCAGTGCCCCGCTGGCCGCCAGCCCGGCCTGCCCAGCCCGGCCCTTACCTGCGTGCTGCGGCTTCTTCCTGCCCACGGCAGCCCCGATGACCCTCAGCAGCTGCTCCTCGGAGTCCCCAGCCCGCAGGTGGTCCCGGAGGGATACCTCTGAGTTCCCAAAGAGGCAGACCTGCAGGGGTCACCACGGGGGAGGGGGGTGTGAGCCCTGACCTGGCCCTTCAGCCCTGACCCGGCCCATCCCTAGAGACGCCCGGGGGCTGAGCCCAGCGCCCAGGCCTCCCAGGGTGGGCACGGGCAGGGCAGGACTTCCCTCTGGGAGGGCAGAGGTGCTGGACGAAGGATTCCGAGGCTGGAAGGGCAGGGCGTGGAATGGGACCTCCCCGGCCACCTCTGATTCAGGGCCGTGGGGCCTTCAGCGTGGAGAGCACCGGAGGGAACTACAGAGCTGCCTGCGGAGACCGCATGGAGTCCAGAGCCCCGCCCGGGCCTCCTGGGGGCCACCAGAGGGCCCGATGAGGGCACACCCCCTGGTTCCTCAGTCCCCTCCTCTCATGGACGTTAGCTGCCTGCCCCACCCCCCTCCTTGTGACCCCTGGTGTGTGACGCAACAGCAGAGGGCTGGTGGGGATGGGGTCCTGAGGTTGGTCCCTCCTGCCTCAGAGGCCCCAGCTCTGAGAGGCTGGAACTGGGGGGAGGCTCAGGGATAAGTGAGGCAGTTCCGGAGAGGAAGAGACCTCCCACCCTCCCTCAGAGCCTCACAAAGCACCTACTGCATGCCAGCACCATAAAGGCTCTGTGGACTCACAGAATGAGACGCCCCAAGGGCAGTCGCCAGAGAAGACAGCAGTGACATCAAAGCTTCACCCATGTTAGTCCCGTCCCCTCTCCCCCAGGCCCTAGGCTCACTCTCCGCCACCAGGAGGCTCCTCTGGACTCCACCTTCCAGGTCCCGTCCAGCTGGCCTCCGCCTGGGTGTGGCCGACGGGAGATGGGAGCCTGGGAGGCCGGGAGTGTGCTCCGCTTCCTCCCCACGCTGACTGAAGGGCTGCTTCCCTCCCTGACGACACCAGCTCTCACTGGGCCCGGGTGACACCCGTCCTCCACGCCGCTCCCCCCAGGGTGGGAAGACCTGCGGCTCCTGCAGTGTCTCAGCCTCCCTCACGCCCCTCATTGGCTTCTTCAGTCCTTCCCTTCAGATTTCCACCTTCCACCCGCTGGGCCGAATCACACCAGCCACCTTCAGGTCAGTTTTATATCCCCTTCTAGGAAAATCTTTTTAGCTTTCTACCAACAGCTGGACAGTTCCTTTTGGATGTCAAACTAGATGCATATGAACCCATCCCACCTCCACCCGCCACCCGACCTGCATCCTAACCAGGTCCCGAATCAACCAGCCACAGATGCCTTCGTCTCCTCCCTCCACCTGCCCGACCAGGTCTCTCCATTCTTCCCCCATCTTCACCTTCCACTCTTACATATTTGGAACAGCACTAAATGTCCACCTAACCAGTCTTCCTAGTTCCAAATCCAGTGGGTTATTCTTCCGAAGATGTGAGTGGGGACGGTGACTTCGCTGTGCTCAGAATCTCTGCACAGCGCCCCGTCAGCAGAACTCTGCACAGCGCCCCCTGTCAGCAGAGCACTGCACAGCGCCCCCTGTCAGCAGAGCACTGCACAGCGCCCCATCAGCACAACTCTGCACAGCGCCCCCTGTCATCAGAACTCTGCACAGCACCCCCGGTCAGAAGAACTCTGCACAGCGCCCCCGGTCATCAGAACTCTGCACAGCGCCCTATCAGCAGAACTCTGCACAGCGCCCCCGGTCATCAGAACTCTGCACAGCGCCCCCGGTCATCAGAACTCTGCACAGCGCCCCATCAGCAGAACTCTACACAGCGCCCCCTGTCAGCAGAACTCTGCACAGTGCCCCATCAGCAGAACTCTACACAGCGCCCCCTGTCAGCAGAACTCTGCACAGCGCCCCCTGTCAGCAGAACTCTACACAGCGCCCCATCAGCAGAACTCTGCACAGTGCCCCATCAGCAGAACTCTACACAGCGCCCCATCAGCAGAACTCTACACAGCGCCCCCTGTCAGCAGAACTCTGCACAGTGCCCCATCAGCAGAACTCTACACAGCGCCCCCTGTCAGCAGAACACTGCACAATGCCCCCTGTCAGCAGAACTCTGCACAGCGCCCCCCGTCAGCAGAACTCTGCACAGTGCCCCATCAGCAGAACTCTACACAGCGCCCCCTGTCAGCAGAACTCTGCACAGTGCCCCGTCAGCAGAACTCTACACAGCGCCCCCTGTCAGCAGAACTCTGCACAGTGCCACGTCAGCAGAACTCTGCACAGCGCCCCCTGTCAGCAGAACTCTGCACAGTGCCCCGTCAGCAGAACTCTACACAGCGCCCCCTGTCAGCAGAACTCTGCACAGCGCCCCCCGTCAGCAGAACTCCGCACAGCGCCCCCCGTCAGCAGAACTCTACACAGCGCCCCCCGTCAGCAGAACTCTGCACAGCGCCCCCTGTCAGCAGAACTCTGCACAGCGCCCCCCGTCAGCAGAACTCCGCACAGCGCCCCCCGTCAGCAGAACTCTACACAGCGCCCCCCGTCAGCAGAACTCTGCACAGCGCCCCCCGTCAGCAGAACTCTACACAGCGCCCCCCGTCAGCAGAACTCTGCACAGCGCCCCCTGTCAGCAGAACTCTGCACAGCGCCCCCTGTCAGCAGAACTCTGCACAATGCCCCCTGTCAGCAGAACTCTGCACAGTGCCCCGTCAGCAGAACTCTACACAGCGCCCCCTGTCAGCAGAGCACTGCAGCTTCCACCTGGGCATTCAAGCCCCTGCAGCCTTTCTCCCAGATCTGACTTCCGTCTGCCCGGCCAGACAAGGGTTGACCCCACCTGTCTCCTCCCCAGCCTTCCCTTCCACACCACCCAGCAAGATTCACCAAGGCCCACAACGTGCCCCTCAAGGTCCAGCACCCTTACGAGCTGTGGCCACTCATCTGTACAGAATCCTGGCCCTGCACACCTTAGCGGCTGTGTCGGTTTTACAAGGAGACTTTGCACCCTAAAGGGTGGGGCAGGTCTATGCCCCCCTTTTACCCCCAAGGCAGACACACCGCACATGCTCATCAGACATGAGTAACGGAGGCTGGTCTCAGAGCTGAGCCCCTGGCCTGGTGGAAGGGGCAGAGTGCACAGTGACCCTTCACCCCTACCCCCAACTATGGCTCCTAATGAGGTGCAAGTTACTTTAGGGACCCAAGCAAGGAATCTGGGTGATGGTTCCACGGGGGCTATTTCACCTCCCCTGCTACTCCTGTGACCTCCCAAATCCGACACTATTTCACCAGCCCCTGCTGTGCCGGCCTCTCTCTCCAGCAAGGGGCGCAGGGGGGAGGGCACTCAGAACGCTCACCTTGAGGTTCCCGTCAGCAGTGATCCGCAGCCGGTTGCAGGTCCCACAGAAATGCTCAGACATGGATGTGATGAAGCTGACCTGGCCTCGGAAGCCAGGGATTTTAAAGGTCTGGGTGAAGAGGCAAAGAAGGGCAGAGAGGGGACATGGGTGGAGAGCACCAGCTCTCATGCCCTCACCTCAGAGCCCTCACTCCGCAGCCCTGCAGTGGAGCCCCAGGAGGAGCACCCAGGCCCTCGGCACAGAGGCCCCGGAGGAGCACCCAGGCCCTCGGCACAACAGGCCCCTGGGGGAGCACCCAGGCCCTCGGCACAGGAGGCCCCGGAGGAGCACCCAGGCCCTCGGCACAGCAGGCCCCTGGGGGAGCACCCAGGCCCTCGGCACAGCAGGCCCCTGGGGGAGCACCCAGGCCCTCGGCACAGCAGGCCCCTGGGGGAGCACCCAGGCCCTCGGCACAGAGGCCCCGGAGGAGCACCCAGGCCCTCGGCACAGCAGGCCCCGGGGGAGCACCCAGGCCCTCGGCACAGAGGCCCCGGAGGAGCACCCAGGCCCTCGGCACAGAGGCCCGGAGGAGCACCCAGGCCCTCGGCACAGAGGCCCGGAGGAGCACCCAGGCCCTCGGCACAGCAGGCCCGGAGGAACACCCAGGCCCTCGGCACAGCAGGCCCGGAGGAACACCCAGGCCCTCGGCACAGAGGCCCTGGAGGAGCACCCAGGCCCTCGGCACAGCAGGCCCGGAGGAGCACCCAGGCCCTCGGCACAGCAGGCCCGGAGGAGCACCCAGGCCCTCGGCACAGAGGCCCCGGAGGAGCACCCAGGCCCTCGGCACAGCAGGCCCGGAGGAGCACCCAGGCCCTCGGCACAGAGGCCCCGGAGGAGCACCCAGGCCCTCGGCACAGCAGGCCCGGAGGAGCACCCAGGCCCTCGGCACAGCAGGCCCGGAGGAGCACCCAGGCCCTCGGCACAGCAGGCCCTGGTGCACAAGTGGGATGGGCTCTCTGCTGTGTCTGACCTGCCGGGAGCAAATCTACCCGGGGCCTGTGGGCAGCGTGGACAGAGCAGTCCCGTGGAGGCGCAGACTGAGCACCTGCCACCACGAACTGCATGTGCCCTGAGACAAGCATCTAAACCCGTCCCACAGCCAGCGGCTGCTTTGTCCAGGAGAAGGGGGGCTGCTGGGAGGGCACTGAAAGGCTCCCTACTTCACAGGGACGGTCCTGCATCCCGGCTCTGACCTCGGTGTGGCCCTGCCAGCTCTCCCATCCTAGGCTGCAGGCACCCCGTCCTCCCTGCCCAGCCCCGGGCTGCCCCCCTACCTTGGCTGTGCTGGACTCCTCCTGGGGCAGCTTCTCCAGCTCCGGCCACCGCTGCTGGATGGTGTCCAGCATCTCCTTGTAGCTGACCATCTTCTTGAAGTTCCACTTGTTGCCTGTATGGGGGTTGGAGGCTCCTGAGTGCAGCGCTGCAGGGGCCTGGGGCTCCAGGCCCACCATCCCGCACAGCCCAGAAACCACATCTCTCCGACTGGAGGTCAGCAGGCCCTGCCTATCAGCCTCCCATGCTCCATGGCAGCCGAGCCTGTGGGGCCCCTCCCCCAACCCCATCCCGGAGACATTTCCATACACACAGCAGGACTGGAGGTCAGCAGCACCCACAGTGAGAGCCAGACCTTGCTGCCCCACTTCACCCTCTCGGGGTCTCCATGCTCTGCCCGCAGGCCCAGCCTCCTCTCCCCGCCCCCATCACTGACCGTCGAAGGGCATGTACTCTATGAAGCGCACGTCCAGGGGGAGGCCCTCGGTCAAGGCCACGAAGTCCAGGAGCTCCTCTTCATTCAGGCCTCGCATCACCACACAGTTCACCTGCCAGGGGCACAGGGACCATGAGCGCTGTCCCCCAGGGCTTTTGTTTGCAAGGATGACCTTGGGGAATCTGGGACCTGCCTCAGCTCTCCCCTGGGGTCCCCAACCCTTGCCTTTCACCCTCCAGTTCTCTTTGGGTTAGGATTCCATGGGGTCACACTGCCCCCTTCCTGGGGGGGTGAGGGGCAGGACTGGATGCAGTGGGCACGGAAGTGGTGGGGAGGGGACATGGGCCGACAGGGAGAGGCCAACCAGGGTGGAGGGCCCGAGAGTCAGGGCAGTAGCTGGGGCACGTCACCTTCACAGGGCTGTAGCCCAGCTCGATGGCCTTGTGGATGCCCTCCATGACCTTGTGGAAGCCTGCGGGGAAGAGAAGGTCCAGGCAGGGCTCCCCCGCCCACGCCCCCGCCCACGCCCCCGCCCCCGCGGAGGGAGCCCTGGCTGTGAGGCGTCTCCGAGATGCTGAGTCTGGGGTGGACACGTTTTCTGTGAAGGGTTGGGTCTAAAGATTTTAGGTTTTGTAGACCCAGAGGCAAAATTGAGGATATTATGTAGGTGTATGTCACAAAGACTTTATTGACTAAATCAGAAAATGGTGCTAATTGGGTTTACAAAATGCGTCAGGATGCCCTAGAACCGCTCTCCTCCAGAAGCACTCCCCACGGGGCACAGGGGTGTGGATGGGAGGGAGAGCTGACGGAAGGACAGACCGTCTCCAGTCCTCGTTCTGGGAAAGGAGATGCGGACACAGGGGGTAGATGAGGGTGTATGTGGGGGGTGGAGCCCACAGACACACCTCCTGTCCTCCTCGGACCGCTTGCTGGTTCTAGACAGACAGACCCCCTCAGGGTAAGCTCCCTAGACCTGACCCCTCCACCCGGTTCCTCAAGGCCCAGCCTGCACGCCTCTCCTGGGAAGCCCTCTAGGTTTTCCCCTGCCAGGAGTTCTCTCCCTCTAGACAGACGAAGGTGACCTAATGGCACCACAGCTTGGCCTGTGCTGCAGGGAGGTACTGTGTGTCTGTCCCCCCGCAGTGCCTGGAGCAGCCCTTCCCAGAGGGCAAGGACTCGGGGGCACTTCTGCAGCACAGGGAGGGCTGTACGCAGGCAAGGACCTCTGCCCCCACGTGAAGCCCCCGGCCCAAGGGAGTCAGGGGGCTCCTGCTGGTCTACCTCCCAGCCTGCTACGAGGAAGCCCAGTGGGAAGGGGCCAGGGTGTGCCTGCTGCGGGGGCTGCGGGGAGAGGCACAGGGAGCAACAGCTGCCGCCATCCTGGGGGCCCCACGTCTCAGAGCTCATTACAGGGTAACCAGCTCATTCCAGGTTGCCAGGGATGATGTTGGTTTTAAAACAGAAAGTCGTGAGTTCGTGAAACCCTCTTAGTCCTGGGCAAACTGAGGCAGGGGAGGGGGAGATTGGTCACCATTAGCTCTCAGCATCTGATCCCCAGAATTCCCCAGGGGGGTGGCTACAAAGACGAGGGATATTTGGGGTGGGTGAGGGGTGAAGCCTAGGCTTATCTACAGCCCAGACCCCAAGAGCGAGAGACCAGGCCTCTCGCCATAGCCCCAGCCAGGGATCCCAGCTACGGGGGCCTAGGAGGGACACTGTCCACTGGGAGCTGCTTCTGATCACCTTTTCTGCGAACAATGAACTCAAACTTGGCTGGCACCAGCGTGTCCAGGCTGATGTTGATGGCATTGAGACCAGCTCTCTGAAGCTGAGGCAGCAGCCGGGCCAGGTTGATGCCGTTGGTGGTGACACTGATATTCCTGAGCCCCTCCAACCGATTGAGCTGGGCTGTAGGAAGAACAGGAGGCGGCCTCAGCTTACATGCTCTTGGTGAGGCCCGGGGAAGGCGCAGTTCAAACAAGATGGATAGAAAAGGAGGCCTCTGTGGACCTCAACTAACCAGGCTTAACTTAATAAGAAACAAGAATAAAAACAATGATAAAAGTAACCACAAGATTAAACATTGAGAGTTCACTCTGCTAGATATCTGCTGAGGGCTTTGGTGCACAAGCTCATCGAAGCGGCACAACAATGCTGATCCCCATGGAACAGACAAGGAAAGGGGGGGCCTAGAGAGATTAAGAAACTTGCTTCAAGTTACACAGCTAGTAAGAGGAAGAGCTGAGAATCAAGCCATGTGCACCTGACTCCAGAACTATGCTCTTAATAACCAACTCAAGGTCCTGATCCTCTGGTTTGGATTATGCACTAAATGGACTACTCCATTCCACCAAAAGTGTCCAGAAATAACAGAAGGATTAAAAAAAACAACAACATAATAGCATTGGAAGGCAAGAAGGAATGCCTTCGATGGCCCAGAAGGTGGAGAAATACCGAAAGACAGAAAGCAGAGGGGGATCCAATGGAGCGAGGTGACCACGGCTCAAAGCATGCACAGGAAAAGGTTCTGTACAAAGTGGGAGGGTGGTGGGCATGCACCAGGCTTAGCAGTCATACAGACAGGGGGTAGAAGGATCCCTGGTTATGTCAAGGGATTGCCTTGCTAGGGAATTATATTTGGACGAGTTGCGCAAGCTAGCCTCCCTCTCACCCCTAGGAGCAGGGAGAAGGCAGCAGCACTTTACCCCAAGGCCAGAGCACTTAAGCTAGCCAAACAGGGTGGGGGAAGACCTGAGTAGCTGGTAAGCCAGGAAACGTGGGAGCCCTGAAACCCAGAAGCTGAGCAGGACCTCGGGCCCCTGTCCACAACCTCAGGGCAACTAGCACACACAAAAGCAGCACTGACAGCCAGGCCAGCAGAGACCTTGGGCACGGGGATGAGTGCAGCCAAGAATCAGCAAACATTTAAAGATGATGCTGAGAAAGAAAGATACATTTCACAAATAGAGAAATAAAAGAGGAAGGAAAAGTAAAAAAGATAACAGAAGATGATTCTTTTAAAATTCAGAGTTAGATGAACATAGATGCAAAAATCCTCGACAAATATTAGCAAACCAAATTCAACAATACTGTAAGAGGGTTATACACCATGATCAAGAGGGATCCCCTCCAGGAATGCAAGGACAGTTTAACATCCACAAATCAATCAATGTGATATGCCACCATTACTAAAATGAAGGATAAACAACATACAGTCATCTCAATAAATGCAGAAAAAGCATTGACAAGATTCATCATGCATTCATGATAAAAGCTCTCATCAAAGGAGCATAAAAGGAACGTTGCTCAACATAATAAAGCCCATAAATGATAAGCCCAGAGCTAACATCATACTCAATGGTGAAAAGCTCAAATCTTTTCCTCATACTGGGAACAAGACAGGAATGCCCACTCTTGTTACTTTTATTCAACAGAGCATTAGGAGTCTTAGCTAGAGCAATTGGGCAAGAAAAATAAATAAAAAGCATTTAAATAAGAATGGAAAAAAGTTAAACTGTCACTGCAGATGACATATAATATGAAATATAGAAAGCCCTAAAGTCTCCACCTAAAAACTATTCAGTGAAGTTGCAAGATACAAAGTCAATACACAAAAATCTGTTGTATATACACTAATTATAAACTATCAAAGTAAGAAAAAAATTTTGTTTACAATTGCATTCAAAAGAATAAAATACCTAGGAATCAATTTAACCAAGCAGGTGAAAGGTCTGTGCATTGAAAACTGTGAGACACTGATGTAAGAAACTGAGGAAGACACAAGTAAGTGGAAAGATATTCTGTGCTCATGGACTGAAAGAACTCTTATTTTGAAAATATCCATGCTACTTAAAAAAATCCCTATCAAAGATTCCCTTAAAGATTCAATGCAATCCCTATAAAAATTCCAATGGTATTTTTCACAGAGATAAAACAAACAATTCTAATATTTGTATGGAACCACAAAAGACCTCATGTAGCCAGAGCAATCTTGAGAAAGAAGAACAAGGCTGGAAGCATCACACTTGCTGATTTTAAACTATGTTACAAAGCTATCAAAACATGTATATTGCCTATTGTTTTGATTACTACAGCTTTGTAACATAATTTGAAATCAGCGGAAAAGAATTAAGAGCACAAAATAAACCCACACACATATGTTCAATTAATTTAAGGCAAAGGAACTAAGAATATGCAATGGGGAAAGGACAGTCTCTTCAATAAATAGTGTTGAGAAAACTGCGCAGCCACATGAAAATGACCACTATATTACACCATACAAACAAATTAACTCAAAATGAAATAAAGATTTGATATGAAATGATAAAACCTTTGGAAGAAAAACATAGGTGGTAAACTTCTTGACGCTGGTCTTGGTACTGATTTATTTGGATCTGACACCAAAAGCAAAGGCAACAAAAAAATAAAAATGCTGAACAGACTGACAAACCTCAGAGGGAAGGTGGGGGGAAGTTGGAAAGAGATAAAAGAAAGGTCTGATATGCATATATGCATATCCAATGGATACAGATGATAGTATGGGAAAGCAGGAGGGGGGTGGAAATGGGAAGGAAAGGGTTGTGTGGGGGGGGGATGGGACATCTGTAACACTTTCAACAATAAAGATTTTTAAAAAGACATGAGAAAGACTTTATAACACAAAGAGGTAAACTAGCAATATTTGTTTTTCCCCTTAATATTTACTACCTACCTTACTGCAGATGATTAGAGTATGGTAGAGCATCTAGAATTATGATTGTAGAGTTTATAAAATCTTTAAAAGCTTATTTCGTTGAATTGGGTTTGGTATGAGACTAAAAGTATAAAGAAAAAATTAAATTAAATAAAATTAAAATTAAAAACAGGATTACATCAAATGCTGTTCATTACAGCATTATTTAAAATAAGCCAAGACATGGAAGTCACCTAATTGTCCATTAGTGAATGAATGGATAAAGAAAATATCTCTCTCTCACACACACACACACACACACACAAATGGTATATATTCACCCCTAAAAAGAAGAAAATCTTGCCGTTTGTGACATAGATGGACGTTGAAGGCATTATGCTAAGTGAAGTAAACCAGACAAAGAAAAATATGATATGATCTCACTTATATGTGGAATCTAAAAACATAAAAAATAAAAAAAACAAAAAAAACCCAAACTCACAAATAAAGAAAACAGATTGGTGATCACCAGAGATGGGTGGTAGGGGGTGAGTGAAATGGGTAAAGAAGGTCAAAAGGTATAAACACCCAGTTATAAAATAAAGTCCTAAGGATGAAATGTATGGCATGATGACTATAGTTAATATTATATTGCATATTTGAACATTGCTAAGAGAGTAGTTCTCATCACAAGAAAATAAAATAAAACTATGTGTGGTAATATATGTTAACTATACTTATTGTGGTGAACATTTTGCAATGTGTACAAATATTGATTCATTATATTGTACACCTGCAATGAATACAATATTATATGTTGATTATATCTCAATACAAAAAATCAGAGTAAGTATCCTCCAGGGGTTAAATATTAAATTCTGAAATAAGAAAAAGAACTAATTAGAACTCTTAAAAATAAAATACATATGGTTATATGCTTTATAGAAAGTTATAAAATATATATAGTTATGGAAATATATAGAGAGAGAAAGTTATAAAATATATAGTTATAGAAAGAAAGAAACTTAATGAGACAGCAGGAGGGACACAACTGAAGAGCAAACGAGCAAGCCGGAATACCGAGCAGGGGGATTCTCCCAGACTGCACACAAAAGAACAAGAACGAAAAAAACAAACACCTACCTACTCACATTTATAGCAAATGAAATCTAGAGAAAAGATATTATGTCAAAATGTCCACAGTGGTTATCTTTGATCATAGCATTATTATAGGTGATTTTTATATTTACTTGTCTAGAGGTAAAATGTATTTCAAACTACTTGAATGCACGAATTTTGGTGACGAGGCAGCTCATCTCTGCGTGAGAGCAGAAACCAGGAGCGGAGTGCCCGAGGGAGAACTGGGGAAAAGCCTGGAAAAGGGCAGCAGGAAAGCACCAGTTTAAGCATCGCTTAGGCTGCATGGAAGTGCACTTGCTCGTGCTATAAGAAGTCATGTACGGTACTTGAGAAAGCCGGTGCCCGGAAGTCCAGCTCTAAGAATTTGCCTAAGGAAATAATCACGGGTGTGAGCAACATTTATCTACAGGATGTTCATTAAAGAGTGAGGCATACATAATAAAAGGCAGTGGGAAATCATTCCGATACCCAGTAGCAGAAAAGTGGCTAAATTATGCTTTGTCTAGATGATGGAATATCATGCAATCGAAATGACTCTGTAAAACAGTATGCTAGGATGTGGGGAGACAACATGCCATACTAAGTGCAGAGAGCAGGTTAAAAACAGTAGTTAATATGATTTCACTTATCTGTGGAATCTAAAGAATAAATGCACAAATAAAACAGAAACAGACTCATAGATACAGAGAACAAGCCAATGGTTGCCAGATGGGAGGGGGTTGGGAGGCTGGGTGAAAAGGGGAAGAGATTAAGAGGCACAAATTGGACCTTATAAAACAGTCTCACAGGATGTAAAGTACAGCAGAGGGGGTAGAGTCGGTAAGATTGTAATAACCACGTAAGGTGTCAGATGGGTACTTTCATACTAGAATTATCAGGGGATCATCTTGTAAAGTATATAACTGTCTAATAACTATGCTGTACACCTGAAACGACATAAAATAATACTGAATATCAACTGTAATCAAGAAAAAAGTTAAATAAAAAAAGAAAACAGTAGTTAAAAAATATCCCAACATGTTGACAGTGGTTACAATGGGGCAGTAGTTACATACAGTTTTTGCTTACTCAACATAAACATGCATTACTTTTATAA